TGCTTAGGTAAGCTTTACAAAACCACCACCACCACCACCACCACCATCACCAGAACTGACTTCCATTTCCTTTTGCTTTTGATGTCAAGTAATAGTATTCTCCCATGATCCAGAATGGCTAGCTGTGGCTCCTGGAGGCTTTAGCCAACTTCCAGCTAAAAAATTGGTGTGGGAGTCATGCAAAACTAAGCTTAGATTTCTGTTGTGCTGCTGTGGCTTGTGCATGCTGTCCATCAACTACCTGTCTGTGGATGTATAGATACACTTTCTCTTGCAGTAGTTTCCATAGTCATGACTGCCCTGTTTTCACACAGCTGTGCTCACAGAATGCTGCAGTTACTGCTTCGTATTTAGAAGAATGATTTCTGGATGGTTTCTAAATCATGTTAATATGTTTCTGTGTCAGACAACCATCAGTATTTGTTCTGTAGTGGCATAAACAGTTGACTTAGGAGCTTGTCTACACTGGCTGAAAATCTGAAGCATTATGCTTTGGACTGGCCCTAGATGGTGGCTACACACACTGGGCCAAACCTAACACAGGCCAACTGAGCCAACATTACACTGGCTCCGCTGGTCTATCCCCTGGACACAAGCAAGATCTCTATGGAAAGGTTGTGGCATGCTGCTGCTTCTTCTCAGGGTAGAATGGGTTCCTGTGTCATCAGCGAGAGGAGAGGGTTGAAGGATCCCCCTGTTCCCATGGCTGGATGTCTCCTGGCTGTGAAACAGTAATGGGAAATAGTGTAGCTCTTCCCAAATGGACAGCTGCTTGGTCTGAATTGAGACCAGTTTAAGGGTTCACATGCCATAAAGCCTGTGCTCACCTAGGAGTTTCAAGGAAACACCAGGGTTTTCCTCAGATTTGCTTAATTTGAGATTAAAACAGATGAACAGGGAAACCCATGGTATTTCCCCATAAGCAGCAATGTGTTGTGGGGACAGATAGCAGCACCTTTGGGGTGAGTTCAGGATTTTGTTTTTACAAATTTAAGGTAAAGGTATTTCCCATTGACAAGGTTGTCAAATCATGTCATAGGGGATGGTGTCAAATCATAGGGTTGTCAAATCATAGGGGACGATGCTGATCTCCGTTTCTAAGCCAAAGAGCCTGCATTGTCAGAGACTACTCTGTGATCATATGGCCAGCATGATTGCACAGAACGCAGTTTACCTTCCCACTGAAGTGATACCTATTTATCTACTTGTATATGCATGTTTTCAAACTGCTAAGTTGCATGCTTTCGAACTGCTAGGTTAGCTCACCCCATCATGCAGCACCTGGGCCTCAAACTGCCAACTTGCTGATCTTACAATCAACAGAGCCAACATCTTAACTGCTTGAGCCACCACATCTTACTAAACTGACAAGTTTAGTAAGCCCATAGTCAAGATCCCTGTGATGATATTTAGGAACCACAAATGGAATCTGAAGTGTTTTGGAGAATATTCTTCATTTCTCTATAGTAAGCACTTCTGTCTGTGAAGTTGAAGAGTGTTAGTACTCTTTGTCATAGGTATCTCCTTGTATAACTGCAACAATGGTTGCTAAATAAGCTGTCATTTTCATTTTAATAGCTTAGTTCAAAGAAGCATGTAGAGTTGCTACAATAATCCACTGAAGCTCTTTTCTGATTAATGCATAGTCTCTGATATTTTTACACATTTTTGGGGGGGTGGGCAGGACATGCAGCCCCCATCATCCATCCCTGTAGGCTTTGCTGATTAGGACTGATGGGTGTTGCAGCCAAACAGCCTCTGGACAGCTGCACCTTCTCCAGCCTTAGCTTATGGGATGTAATAGTTGGTGTGTTTATTTGTTGGATTTATTGGGTTAACTTCCTGATTTCTCTTACAAATTGCTCACTAATATTTAATAAAACTAAAATAAAAATAAATTAAAACAAGTTGAAATGTGAAACCATAAATAATTTAAAGGCATGGTTTAAAACAACTTAAAACACTAAGAAACAGTTTGAACAATTTTAAATAATTTAAAAACAGAAGAAAATGTGAGTATTTTTAAAATCTTTTGGGGGGGAAATGTAATTTTCACTCCTTGGTTTTGTGTGAGGAATAATTGGAAAACACCTGAACTATATAAAGTTTTTCCCCTGAACTACCGTATATAAAGTTTTTCCTTGCCTTCTTTCTGTTCTATCTCAATTTCCAAACTGAGCAAAAACCATAGTACTGGGTTCAAAGTAAAACATCAAATATCATTCAAACAAAATATTTATGTGTCCCCTGACTGCAGTATTCCAACTTGATTCAGATTATTTCTCCAACACCCCCTTTTTTCTTTTTTGGTCCAAAGAACAAATAAACCCAGGTACAAAGTTGTTAGTAGAAAGGTCTGTATACAGATTTACTCAAAAAATTAGATTGACTTGTTCTGTGGTGACTCCTACTGCTCCTCCAAGGAATAACCCAGATTAATAGACTGGGTGTTTTTTCCATGGAAGGCTGGGGCAGCATCCTTAACTCTCCCCCCACAGCTTTTTATGTAACATCTCTATGGTGGCACCTGCTTTACTGATATTAATAGCAACAGTTGCTCAGTGGCAGTATACTTATTACTTAGCTCTGGCTAGTATTAGCAGCTGTCTGCAAACAGTGTTGCTCTCACTGGCGTAACTGCTAAAGGTGGAAGGACTTGCTCCTAAGGCCTTAATTTTCAGCAGTCTCAGTGCAAACTTGCCACTTGCACAGCAGACAGTAATAGTGTGGCCACAGGTCCTCAGGCACCAAGGGAATTCCACAAATTTGACTCATCAGATATATTTGGACTCCTTAGCTGTGCAGTGAGCCTTCTGTGTAATACGGACATGCCAAGTGTGTACCAGCTTGACAAGCAAGCATTCTGCAAATGATGCAGATGTTATAATGGACAATTGTGTTTACTTCATTTGACAGCCATTTGACCCAAAGGGTGGTGGACTCTCTCCTTCTTCGGTGATCTTTAAACAGAGGATGGATGATCTCTCAAAAGTAGTTTAGTTGTTTATTCCTGTGTGGCATGGGGTCGAACTAGATGGCCCTTGCGGTCCCTTTTGAACCTATGATTCTATTAATTGTGAGAGGGAAAGCCATAGTAACTCCTTTAGGGAGAAAAAGGTTGATATTCCCAGGAGCATTAGAGATTGCAGTAATTAGACTAATACTATTCATTATACTTCTTAGTGGAATCACTGTCCTTAGACTCATTGGCACACACATCTTGGAGATGTTATGTACATATGTTTCTTTTGTAACATTTACTGCACACTACATCTGGGAAGACTCCCAGAGTAGCTTATATATCAATACTCCCTACCTAAAAAGTATGCAAGTGATCTTGTAGCACCTTTGAGACTAACTGAAAGAAAGAAGTTGGTAGCATGAGCTTTCCTAGATTTGAGGCAACTTCCTCAGATGCATGTTTTGCAGTGGAGAATCCAAAGACAGATCTGTATAAGTCGTTTGTGTGTGAAAATGTCAATTAAGATTCAAAATCTTGTAAGTATGGAGATGAGGTGGCGAGTACAGTTTAGGCAAGTACCAAAAAAGGCATTAGACAAAAGGAAAAGGAACTAAAGAGGGAAAAGGAAAGAAGATGTGGCCTGAATTAGGTTTTGCTGGTAGATGAATCTGGTTGTTTAAAAATACATGTACATGTCTATGATTTCCACACTAGACACAATCTCCTGTAGAAGCACTGCTTTCCATGGCAGTTTGTGTGACCCGTAACATGTCATGCTTCCCCTTAGAAAATAGTGTACTGAAAAAGAAGTCGGTATGTACTGAGTTGCCAAGAAAAAAAAAAAAAAGGTCTCAGAGAATCACAGAGAGGGGTTTTCATATGACCAGAGGATATAGAAGGAATGTCTCATCATGCCAGATTAATCTGGTTTTGATATTTCCACATGCGTTGGTAATTTCAGTCACTGGGATTAGGTTACTGAACTAAACCTTGTTTGGAGCTTTGTTGTGAATGTCTTTCCCTTGTGACACTGAATTCTGAAGAAGCCTCTTTAGATTTGTTCGAAGGGATGTTTTCTCTTTCCAGACTGATAGGAGAGCAGTTCTGGTACTTAGAGAAAACATTGCTGCAGGATTAGTATGAGGACTTGTACAGCTGGGTGGTGCACTTACTTGATCCCTTCTCACTCACTTTCACCTAAGTTGTCATATGCTAATGTCTTGATGGTGTTGCAGATCTATTAGCATTTTCGTAGCTTGTCAGAATTGTTATTCCCCCCCCCCCCCATTATGAGATGGGAGGAACAAGAGAGCCATCTGGAACACAATGACCCAGTACTGAATCAAAGAAATGTCTGATGCAGAGTGCCTTTGTTCCAAGAAAAGCAGTTTCCCTTCAGTCCCAAAGAAGGGAGGGAGGGAGGGAGGGAAAGAGAAAGAAAGAAAGAAAGAAAGAAAGAAAGAAAGAAAGAAAGAAAGAAAGAAAGAAAGAAAGAAAGGTTCCCAAAGGCTTCTTCACAGAGGTAGCATATGTTGGTTGTAGAAATAGTCTTGCTCTCCCTAACTGCCCCATCTGTTTTATGGAGTTGGTTGTAGAGGAGAGGGTTTGCTATTTGGCTTCTTATTTTGCTTACGAGGAAGAAAGAGGCTGCATCTGAAAACGCATCATGGAAAATGCTACCTCAAAGCAGAAAGATGGGGAGGAAATTTAAACATGCTGGAGGTAGTGTGGAAACCAGAGCTGCCCTGGGCTAGTCAGAATTTAGTTTGTATGTGTGTGGGGTCAAATGGGAAGGATGAGAACAGGGATCTTTTCACCCTATATAGTTATACCACTGTGATTTCTTTTTAACTGCCTTCCTGTGGAATTGTGGGATTAGTAGTTTGCTCCAAGGCATGAGAAGAGCTTTCTAGCTGAGGATTCAAAATACACTTACATAAAATACAAATCCTAGGATTCTGTAGGATATTGACATGACTGTTAAAGTGGAATCACAGTGCTATCTATAATTGTGTATTGTAATATGCCCCAGGTCTGAGCCAGCGTGGCATAGTGGTTTGAGTCTTAGACTACAACTCTGGAGATCAGGGTTCAATTCCTGGCTTGGCGATGAAACTGACTGGATGACTCGGGCATATCACTCTCTCAGCCTCAGAGGAACGCAATGGCAAACCTCCTCTGAACAAATTTTGCCAAGAAAATCCCATGATAATTCCCCTTAGGGAACCTTATGAGTTGGAAATGACTTGAAGACACATAACAACAACAAACTTCCTTGCATATCAAGAATGGCCATTCTGGCTGAGGGAATGGAGAAGCTATAGTTCATAAAGGTACTTGAAGCTCTGGCCAGGGGTAAAGAAAATTGTGTGCACCCTTGTAGGTTAAAATCATGCAGATGTTTCCTTTTGCCTTGAATTCATGTGGATAGCAGCTGAAGTAGATGTATGCATTTCCCCCTACCTCAGTGAAGTTCTGTGCAGGAAAAAATGCAGATTTATCGACATGGAAAATCTTTAAAAATCTTTAATCAACCCAACTAAAAAGAGAAGTAGTCTAGCAATAAACCACTCTAGAAAGATACATTTAAAGTAATGTTTTTAAAATGTACACTCTTGAAACAACCCCATTTTTAATGAAATTATTGTTGGCTCTCGATATCTGTGAATTCTCCACCCACAGATTCGTTCAAAAATACTCACAATTTTCCCCCCAAAAAGCAAACATTGATTTTGTAATTTTATATAAGGAATGGCATTTTACCAGTGGCATTGTTACTCCTGGTGTCACCCGATCTGGGGGCCGTCACTGCTGGTTTCTTCACCATGGTGGCACTGGCCTCAACATTTGTTCCCTATGGTGGTGGCAGCCTCCTCACAAGGTGACCACTGCAGCCACAGGGGCAGCAGCACTAGAGTCCCTCAGCCTTGTCCTTGCCCGCGGCGGTGGCAGCTACTTGTAAGGAACTACTGCCACTGCGGGGAAGCAGGGCCGGGAGCACTTGCCCCTCTCTCCAGTGGGAGGAGGGCCCAGTTGGGTGTCAGCCCTCTTCTGGGGTGTCATCCGGTGCATTCTGCGCTACCTCACCCCTCCAGTGATTCCAGTGCATTTTATTATGTCATTGTATATAATGGGATTTGAGCAGCCATAGATTTTGGTATCCATGTGGGATTCATTGTATATAATGGGATCCGACCATCCATGGATTTTGGTATGCTGGAACCAAAACCTAGCAGATAACAAGGGCCCACTGTATTATTTGTGCAGGTATGAGAAATGCCTCCATGGTGATTTTAAAAACATGACTGTTGTATTAACTACGGAGATCCACCACCTCCTTTAGAGAAATAAGTCCTAAGCACAACTGAAGTGAATTCAGAGCTGGACCATCAATAGAGATGTCCTTCCTTTGGCTTCTTTAGAGTTGATTGCTACATGTTGGCCTACTGGTGACCTTCTCTTCTTATTTTTTCACAGAACTTTGAAGTCAAAGCTGATGACCTGGAGCCAATATCAGAATTGGGACGTGGTGCCTACGGGGTGGTAGAGATGATGCGGCATATGCCCAGTGGGCAAATTATGGCAGTGAAGGTAAAGTGAGACTCTGTGGCTAATCACTCTTAATGCATTAACCTTTCATATTCACATACACACACAGAGTCTATTTTTTTCAACACCGATAGAGGTTGATCTGGGGTTTGAGACAAATTGGTGACTTACCCAGAAAGAGCATGAAACCTTGAAGACTGCAAATAAGCAGAAGTTCATTCATCAAATTTTTAATAAATGAATTTTAGGACCAAGCATGATTAGAGAGAACATCAGTAATATGGGAAAAAATTGATCTATATTCTAGCTGCCATTTACTGATATCTATTTCTAAAATTACATGCTGTGTTTGCCTTGCATTCCATAGGTCATATTTCCAAGTTTAAAGATCATATCTTTCATTGCACTCTTTTTTCCTTGCTGGATATGATTTTCACATAGAATTGTTTTACTGTAGAGGTATGTGTCTATCCACAGCTCCCAGTTATCTCATAGTGACTGTTCCTGAAGCTCTTTGCTCACCACTGTTAGAAATGGGATGTTGGACAACATGAACACTCAGCCTTATGCAAAGTTTCTTCAATCTTTAATATGATCCTTGTCACTTTTCCTGAATGTGTTGAATTTCTCGCTTCCATTTTGAGGGAGGCTTGTGTGTGGCAAGCTCATTATGATGTCAGTGGACCATTTGCACCTTGTTTTGTGTGAACTGGAAGTAGTGATGTAAGAAATGAACTATATGGGTGTGTACAGTAATATTTCTAATTTGTATACTCTATGTCCTTGGCTCTGTTTGGAGTATCATTACTAGGTAAGCGGAAATACAAACAAGCCAAAGGCTTTTTCCTTTCCTGATATCCTTGAATACAGTGTGAAAGTCTCCAACTAACCATAGTTTCAGTTGAACCAAGAAACTGGCTTTCAGTTTTGAAATAAGCCACAAATCAACTTCAGATTCATGTGTGCTTAGAGAGAAGGTGTGACAGACAGAAGCAAAAGTCTTACTCTTTTGTGTCATGATTAGAGATATAATTGTCTGAACCAGGCTTTTCTATTTATGAATGAACTGTCTATCTTATTCTGTCTTTTTACTCCTATTTACCTGAGCTCTGGTTTGGTTATAATATTACAACTTTGAAATGCTTCTTAGCAATTGGCATATTAATCTTTGTTTCAATGTTATGGAGAAAAGAGGTTGTCAAAAATATAAATAACCTTTGTTTAGTTAAAAAAATACTGTAAAAGAGTAGAGCCAGATTTATTTTTCTAATAAAGGTTGAGTTTCTCTTATCTGGAATTCTGAAATACAAAGTACTCCAAAAACCTTTTTTTTTCATGGATGACTGAGATAGTGACACTTTTGTTTTCTGACAGTTCAGTTTATACAAACTTTAACACACAAAATTATTGAAAATGTTATATAAAATTACCTTCAGGCTATATGTATAAGGTGTATAAATGCATTTTTGTTTTGACACAATAAATCTCATTATGTATATATATGCAAATACAGGCATTACAAAATCTAGAAAAATCTGAAACCCCAAAATATCTCTGGTCCCAAGTATTTTAGATAAGAGGGAGACAACCTGTAGAAGTCATCCATGTAATTCATAAAATTAGGAAATTTTATTTCAATCTTTGGTAATGATCGTGTTTTTTGTCTAAAGTCTTAGCAAACATATATTTAATATGATCCCAGGGGAACTTCTATGTAATGATGTTGTTAGTTTTGAGAAGAGACATAAAATGAAAAGAACATGATATAATTTAATATTTCAATAACAGTTGCTCAACATTTTAATCCTGAAAGCTGCCAAAAGCAAATAAATAAATAAATAAATAAATAAATAAATAAATAAATAAATAAATAATAAACGTAATAACATTTTCATATATTCAGTGAATTAAAATTCTTGGGAATTAAACTAAATTAAAACTCTTTGCACATGATAGTGGTTATAGTGGCTTTTCCGCACTGAGGATGAATTTGCAAAGCATAAATGAAAATGGATATGTTCCTTTAGGCCTGTTTAATGCCAGAGCTTTAAAAAGTTACTTTTTTTGAATTACAGATCCCAGAATCCCTTAGTCAGCAAGAACAGTGACAGCACTGACTGGGGAGATTCTGAAAGCAACAGTGCAAAGTGTCATAGGGTTAGCTGTGTTGGCTGTATAGCAAATCCAATAACATCCAAACAGTGATACCTTTCTTGGGTCAACCAAAATGCACAATTACATGTTGCAAGCATTCGAAATCACACTAGCATCTTCATCAGGCAAGCAGGAGAAAAAAATTGAAGATGTTAGTCATAGACCTGCATATTCTGCAAGCTAGTACCCCCTCTCTTTTTTTTTGGCCATGTGGTAACTGGGAGATTCTCAATCAAAGTCAAGGAAATTTAATGTTCATTTTCAACTCAAAAAAGATGCTGGGGGTGGGGGAGTGGAAGGTGCCAGCCTGTAAATTAGGGGTAGGCAACCTTTCCCCTTTAAGGGCCGAGGGACTTCAGCTCCCAGAAGCCTCAGCCATGTTGGCCAATAGTCCCATGTTGGCCAGTAGCTCCTGGGATTCTGGGAGCTGAAGTCCCTCGGCCCTTAAAGGGGAAAGGTTGCCTACCCCTGCTGTAGATAATTCTCCCTATCATCTGAACTAAGACCAGAAACAGAAAATGCAGGTCTATGACTAACATCTTCAATTATTTTCTCCTGTTTTCCTGATGAAGAAGCCAGTGTGACTTCAAAATTGTGCATTTTGGTTGGTCCAATAAAGCTGTCATTGTTTGGATGTTATTGGAAGTGCTAAAATGTAACACTTCCTGATGTGTAATACACAGTTACAAAAGTCTCTCCAAGATGTTACTTATCATTGCTAGTCCATGATTAATCCAAGAAGCAAACATAGAGTTACTATTTTCATTTCTCCTCTGGTCAATGATGACAAGCTGTTAAAATTACAGCATGTTAATATTAGGTTCCATTGAGTTTGATACCTAATTCTGGGCAAATATACCATTTAATGAACAAAACTAATCATGATGTGTTCCTCAACCCTTGTACAGCAGAATCATGATTTAGGTTGCTGAGCTAAGATCCTACATGTAGAAGGCTTGTATGGGGTGACACTGGCAAGGCTTTTTTTTTTAAAAAAAAAAGGGAGGGCAGAAATCTAGCAGCACCTTTAAGACTAATGAGCTTATATTTTAGCATGAACTTTCATGGTTATCAATCCACCTTCTCAGACGTACTGCGGAAGGCCTTGCTTCTTTGTAAGCAAAGCAGATGCAGAAATGTGCAAGCTAATTTATCCATGGTTTGCTTGGCACAGGTGTAACCATGGTTAATGCCAACCAAATTTTGGAGAATTCACTTTAACCTGTGGCTTTGCATCCTGGTTTAAATCTTGTTCTGTAACCAGGTGTAAAATAGTCAAGGTGTTACACCTAACGGTATATGAGCATTACAGCTGTACAGGCCCAACCAGCCTGTTCAGAAGCTCTGTGGGAGCTCCTGTGTGTTCACACTGGTTTTTTACATAACCATAGTGCTTCCTATTCACG